GGATTTGAACCGCCAGCCTTCTGGTTAGCAGTCAAGTGCCTTAGCCACTATGCTACCAGAGCTCCCATTTTAAAGTTCATAGCTAGTGGCTATTTTAATTCTTTTTCTAAATAGAGCAGTCTTCTAGAGATGTTGCAGTCCTGTGGGTGATCACAGCAGCTTAGATTCAAAGGTTGGGCAGTCTACTTGCATAGTGATACTGCCTTGGAAATGCAAGGAGGAGTCAGAAACCCAAGAAGTCGCTGTGAGTCAACTGGAATCTATGAGCTGTTACAACATATACAACCTATTTTTTCCTCTTATCAATGAGATTTTGTGTAGCAGATATGAAAGGGCTAGACAGAAGGAAGTTATCATGCTCATATTTCCTAATTGGTAAGCCTGACGTAGAGAGAGGGAACTAAAATGCTTAAAATATTGACTGTAACTTCAGACCTCTGAATTTTAAAAGGCTGGCAAAAAGTTAAGTTTTTTAAAAGCCTAGTTGGCCTGATAGTGTCCTCTAATCTTTAAGGCTTATAATATATTTTTTTCAAAAGTGTTTTAAAATATTTAAAATATTTTTTTTCTTAATTGTATAGGTGTTATGTGAGTTGTTGTTTAAAAATTTAGCTCAAAACTCAGCTCCTCCCACCCGAAGAAGAACAGTGAGCACCAGATCTAAGCTTAAGTCTAATAGCCGTGCAAAAACCCAGTCTTGTCTGGCAGAAGATTGTACTGCAGGGAGTTCTAAGGTACGAAGTGCGTGTATTTGTCAGTGTAATCCTGATTAAGCTTTATGTAATTATTTTAAATGTTTCACAAGTTATTTAGACATTGTGACATTATATTAGAAGAATTTTTCAAGACCAACTTGTTAATCCCTCAATCTGAGAGTTAAAAATTTTAAAGAAGTCAGCAGAAACAATGGAAATAAAGATTGGAAGAAAGGAACTTTAGAATACCTCTTTTTTTGTTTGTTTTTTTCCTTTTATTGTGGTGAAAACATATACAACAAGACATTCGCCAACACAACACCTTCCACATTTACAGCTCAGGGACATTGATGCCATTTTTCATGTTGTGTCACCATTGTTGCTATCCTTTTCCAAAATATTCTACCACCATTACCATAAACTCAATATTCCCATAAACAAAACCTTCTCCTTTTCCTCTCCCTCACACCACTGGTAGCCACCAACAGTCTTTGATTTCTGTGTGTGTGTGTGTGTGTGTGTGTGTGT